CTCAACAATCTGATGAAAGGAGCAGACTTGGTCATAAGTGCGTTAGCCGGATCCAGAGCTACACTGCTCTTTTTGGATCTTGGACCAAGATCTCACCAATCTATGGCACCTCTTTTTCAGCATCTGTGTGTAGACTTTTCTCAAGGATCTCACTAAAGTAATGACCTGATAAGTTAAGCACTCCCAATGGTGTCCCTTCTTAAACAAAGCTGTCAGCATTCCAGTCATCCAGTCCATTGGCATCATTTCCGTAGTCGTTTGAGTTTGACATATGTGTGTTAGAGACAACATGCACTGTTCGCTTAAAGATTTCAATGCAAATGGGGCACTGAACTCCACAGTGAATCTTTTCATCAAATCGTTCACACTGTCCTTTTTTACGTATGCATCGTTTATCTTCTTTCTTAGATTTCTAAAAATAGATCTGCGTTTTGCGCCGGGGCCTCAGGTTGATAGCATGCAGGGATTGCCTCAATCTTGAAGTTGTCATAAGAGCTACTACAAGACGTCGTGAAAGCTCGCCTAAGCTTGGGCAATGACATTTTCTCATACATAGAAACCATTTATTTCAACCGGCTCTGTTGACTTGTATATCCCTACAGCCGGCACAAGGTCAAGAATTGTCAACATCTAGTGTTGGACGGAACTGATGCGAAATTCAGTTATCTCCGCGTAGGATCGCACCTTGAAGGACCCGGCGTCTCTAACAAAGAGATTATGTAAACAGCTACTTAATTTAATTACTGTTTATCATGTACTCATACATTTTGTTTTTTCGCCTTTTCTTTATACTGAGTAATATGGCTTTGTGCCGTATATCCAAGTGATAAAACACCATACAATGTCTCAGGAGAGTAAGTTTCGTTGATTCCATCAGCCTTGCCATTTTTCTAGCCTTTGGCAGCTTCTTCGAATTTATTTACCAAGGGATTAATATTCGTTACCTGGCGCTCTTAAGGCTAATCGGGGTTAGCGAGATCCTCAAGATTTTTTCTCTATCGCCGAATTATATTGTCTTAATTGCAAAAAAAGCGTCCAGACGTCTGGATCTTAGTCTTCGATGAATTTTACATAACCCTTCTTTCCATCTCTGAGGCAGCCGATAGTCTGAACGAATACTGTATTTGGCGTCTGGAAATTCTACTCTCTCCCCTCAGTTATATAACATTTCTTAACCATTATATTATCTAGTTTCTGACATGTTTATTCGTACCGGATTCGAGTCGAAGGCTCTTTGCTTTCAGACCATATTTTAAATGCTATCTTCATGTCACTAACAGCGGTTGAATCATATATCCAAAAGTTCGTTGCTGCACAGCAGACGACATTCTAACGTATTTTAAACTCTCGGCATTTGACAGCAGCCCCTCGCACGCTATTTTCTACAAAGCTTTTTAATATACCATCACTGCCGGAATCTGTGTCAATCGTTGTGAGATGTTGTTTTTTTTCGTGTTCAAATTAGCCAGAGAAGGAGATAATGTTACAAATTACGATGATGAGGTTTCTCGATCCATTGGCTAATCAGGGCATCTACTACGCATCAAAAATAGACGAAGATGAGGGCCTTGCCGAAATCGACGAATTCCAAGCAGAGAGGAAGCTGATATTCGTTTTTATCTGAGCCACCTGAAGGAGACCCACCGCATTACACCCACTATCTCTGAATCGTGTTTGCCTCTGGTTGTGTAGAGTCCAGCTTTCTCTTCACTGCTACTCTAAAATTTTCAGCTGACAGTAGGTCCGTCAGTACAAAACTACATCGTCAGATCAATATAGATAATACTCAACAGCAAACGCGCTTATAGGCTGGACAAAATATTTTTTTGAAATTTGAATCCAAAATGATGTTTCTTTTTCTCGTGGTCAGGCGACTGATAGATCAATCTGTCAGTCAGTTACGCACGCCGCTTCTTGTTTTAAGTTGCCAAGTAACAGGGCTATCATAACAGCCTAGACCAGTCACGACCCTGTGTCTAGGCATAAGTAGGAAACAACCCAAGAAGCACTGGCGGTGGGTCATCTCAGAACCGAATCTTTCTTAGGGTTTTCTGTCTGCTGGTCAGAAAACTAGATCTGTGACAATCATCCGTAGTGGCTTTTGCGGGACATACCCAAATTTAGGGGCTAAAAAGAAGAGAACGGTGCAACCTTGTTGAAAATTACATGAAAATTATGCTCGAAAAAAACCCTGATCAGCAGCCGAAACAAAAAAAATTGGGGCATCGGTGAGTGATAGCATGATGACTACAGTACCACATCTACCACCTAAAGAAAGCAGATTTCAGAACAAGATCCATGCATCATTTCTGGTTTACCTCGTTATAAATGATTAATATTTTCTAAGCATCAGACAAGCCATGCTTTGTTATTTTTCAATAAAGAACAGCAAAAAACAAATTTTATTTCAAACAACCGTTTTTAAAGCAACGAACTCTTCTCAAAGAGCATTTGCATAAAACTCAACAAAACTGAGCAAATTTCGAGGTAACAAAAGAACTTGAAAAATTCTCAAATAACATTTTCTTTCAAGTCCATAAAACTTTTGAGTCTTTGACTTACCTTTTAAACTTTCTCTTTTTTGAAAAGCTTCCATTCGACTTATTTTTATTTTTTGCTTTGCGATTTGTACTCGGCAATGGATGGAATGGATTAACGAAGTCTGGCTGTCGATGAATGATGTTCAGTTCTTGTGAAGCTAAGTCGATAAGTACCCTGGAGGAAGTGTCGTAAAAACCGGTTGCGTTGCTAAACATAATTCCCCATCGGACAGCATTCTGCAATCGGCTACTACGGTCATACAGCATATGAAAGGTATCCGACATGTACAACGCCATATTCGACAAGAGCGCTGTGTTTTCAAGCATCACGGATAAGGCTGAAAGGCGAGATCGGTAATAAGAGCGATGCGAAACCAAGCAAATTTTGACAGGGTTACCATCTAGGAGTTTCATGTCACTAGGGAACTGCTCACCGGGCAAAAAGCCGGACTGCTCGATGAATGCTCTTGCGTTCGTCATCACGTCTACTGCTGTTTCAGTTAAAGATTCGATTACCTTTTCTTGCCGACTTAAGAATGAATACGGTATAATCGATTTCAAGCTTTTCACTTGTTCATCGAGTTTCACTCGCAGAGCGGTACGGTCTAAACAAAAAAGTTCTTCAACATGCACCATAGAAAATTCACTGTCATAATTCTGAAGCATGTTTAAGTTTCACTATCAAAAAATGCTCTTTAATTAAAAGATTGAACAAAAAAATTTTTTAATAATTCTGATCTACCTGAAACATGATAATTTCAGTACTTACTGGAATCGTTTATCACCAGGATCACAAGTAGAGTAATCAGAAAGGCGGAGGAACGCATATAGCACATATTAAAAGTTTACAGCCACCATATAAAATAAAGCACGAATTAAGACGGTAATCTTTGTGTGGTGGAATCTTATTCTTTTATGAACAGAGAGAGAGGAACCCGGTCCATATTAGACTATTACTGTTATAATACATATTGAAGATGAAGTCTTCTGACTATATGGCAGGCAGCTCAAACATACAAGAAATAAATTTCTATTTAAGAAAGCTCTGATATTTCAATCAAATTAACATAAACGATTATCAGGAAAATGATCATTCAAATTAGACAAAGCATCAGAACCCATTCATTCATAGCATGGTATAAATATAAGTTTAAGAAGTTAGTTACCGTTTGCATGGGATCACAAAGAAGCTTGTTCTTCAATACAGTGGAGCAGCATAAAACAGACAATAATCCAGCAGTGATGGGTGCAAAAAACTAACTGTACGGCACAAAGTACATTACAGACAGTACATGGAGAAAACAGCCAGAAAGTAACAAACCAACAACAAACAGAATCGAACAAATGGAGGAAACTACAACGAACTGAAGAGAATCAACCAAACGTTATTGTACGCAGAGATTGAAATTTACAACGGCTTCTCTGTCCTTATAGGTTTCTGAGAGTAAGTTACCACTGAGAAGG